GGACTAAATTAGTAAATTCTCCCTTGCAGTGTGATGCTACTGATATCTTTACTCAGTTTTTTCATTCTTGATTTTACTTTTAATTCTGGCTCTCAAGGGGTTGCCACTGTGGTTACATAATTTAATGTTCAGCTAAATAATGATTATAGTTTATGCTTAGATGCCTATAACTCCAGGGGAAAATATGTTCCCAGCCCAGGGAAAATTACCTTTGAAGCTGAAATCAGTCAAAGGGAGAAATAAAGTGGGAAAAACCCATTTATTGCTTACAAGCAGTCATCTACTTTTGCTCACCTGTGTCTCTCATGACCCAGCTGCAAAAAGGGGACCCCATCCAACCTTTCCGGTCCAGATATGCCCTTGGTTTGCCTTGTAATCACCTTTTGATATGGAGATGCTCTAAGGCCAGGCAAGAGATTCTGGAAATCCTGCAGTGTTACCCACAATGTCCCAAAGAGTAAGAGTTTCAGTCTCTGCTAATAGATCTGTGTGGACTGGGGTATGCATTCAATTTTCAGATCGTTTTCTGTTTTCACTAGCTTTTAATTTCCACTAGGTTCCCTATGTGCCCTCTGCACCTACATACAGACTCCATTGACCAGGGATGTGTGAATGGCTTGGGCCCTCTATGGTCTTTGCACTGGCATGTTCATAGCCTCTAGTCAATCCAGGATAGGAGGAGAGCTTATTAGGATTACTACGGTTATCTTACCCAAAACACTACTAAATCCCTGACTAGTCTGCCAGTTTAGCTCTTAGCTTTCAGTGTTTGCCTTCCAGTGAGATCACCACTTTAAATGGCTATTTCCAAACAAGTGAGTTCCTTTTGGCAGCAGGAACAAAGCTGTTGATTTTGTGACCATCCCCATCTTGTTGGGCTTCAGCACGACAGAGGATGGATGTAACCCCAGCAAGAGCATCAGAGTGAACTCTTCTCAAAGGTTACTAGTTTTAATGAATAAACATTTCTCAGTTTTTTAATTGATATCTCTAACTCCAAAATGGGTATTTTTGACTGTTTTGTCTACATATATAGTCCCCTTTTGGGGAGAGGACATACTGAACTGTTGGACTCTGTCACATCAGAAGTGCCTGTTTGCTACCATTTTAATTGGCATGTTATATCTGTAATGGGGTTGTTTCTCATTGTTAAGATGAGCGTGAGTAAACAGGGAATAGTGAATGTGGGGAAAAAAAAACAAGGAAAGGAACACTTTTAAGGATTAGGACAATTTGACTAACCAGATACCAGATATAAAGCTTAGTTTTTTAAAATGAACATAATATTGGCTGTAGGGCAGATGCCGTATGTAAGGGATGTAGTGATGTTTGCAGGATGTGGAACATTTTGCTAATGACATTGACTAATTTAGTAATCTCACTGGTGAAAGTGGAGAAAAGGAGAAAATAAATTGATAGTCATTCAGGGGAGTTGAAAGAGAAGCAAATAATTAAATGGCACATCTCTGTTTAGATGGTCATCATTGATTCTGAATCCATAGAAAGTTTTTATTAAAAAATGTTTTGATGTGAGCTAGGCTTTGGAGGACGAATAGGAGTTCACTGTGCCTATCAAGACACATCTCCGCAGGTGCATATAGCATGTAAAGGGCTTGAGGTGGAGCAGCAGGTGGAAACTTACCTATAAAAGCTCTTGTGTGCCATGGTAAGTGATGGGAAGGCTTGCTTTCTCGTTACTTCATTATTTTAAAAACACGCTTATTGATGTGTAATTGAATTACAAGAAGTCATACATTTTTAAAGTGTACAATGTGTTAAATTTTTAACTATTGAGATCATTTATTTCTTTTTGAATGATCTTTGGTAGTTTCTATATTTAAAGGTATTTGTCCATATCATGTCATCTAAATAACTGAATATATAGACATGAAGTAATTAACTGATTTTCTGTTGTTGTCTTTTAAATATCTATAAATTCTATGTTGATATCCCATATCTTCTTCCTGGTAGTAATAATTTATGCCTTCTGGGTTTTTTTTTCCTTAATCAGTCAGACTAGTGGCGTTCTTCCATTTCTTTCTTCCTGGTCTTTGTGCTATTGTTTTAATATACTTTACTTCTATATAATTTATGGACTCCACCATGGATTGTTATTTTTACTTTAAATAAAGTAGTTGTCTTAAAAAAAGTTTTAAACAATAAGATAACAAATTATATTTGCTTATACACTAAGTCTCTGGAGCTCTTCATTTATTTATGTAGGTCAAAATTTCCATCTAGTGTCATTTTCTGTTTGCTTGAACGACTTCATTTAACATTATTCTCTCTTCTCTTATATGTTTGAAGATGTTTTTATTTCACTTTCATTTTTTTGAAGAATATTTTCACTGTGGAATTCTTGGTTAGCAGATTTTTCTTTTAGTACCTTAAAGTTGTTGCTCTATAGTCTTCTGGTCTCCATTATTTTCAATGAAAAAATCTGCTGTCATCCTTATGTATCTTCTTCTCTGTGTAGTGTTTTTTTTTCTCTTGTGTCTTTTAGAATTTTATTCTTCTTATTTCTAGTTTTAAGCAATTTGATGGTAATGATCCTTCAAGTAATTTTCTTTTTTGGTCTTTGTGCTGGGGGTTCACTGAGTTTCTTGGACTTATGGGCTTATAGTTTTCAGCAGATTTGGAAAATTTTGGCTATTATTTCCTCAAATATTTTTCTGCATTTATTCCTCTCTTCCAATCTTTTGGGAAGTTCAGTTACCATATATTGGGCAGCTTGAAGTTGATACACAGCTCAGTGCTGCTCTATTCATTTTCTTCAATCTTTTACCCCCATTTTTTATTTTGTGTAGTTTCTATTGCTATATCTTCAAATTCAGTCATCTTTTCTTCAGTGATATCTAATTTGCTATTTCCATCCAATGTATTTTCTTTTCAGACACTGTAATTTTTATGCTAGAGGTGTGGATTAAGTCTCATGTCTTCAACATGCCTATTTAACATGTTCATTCATTCTGTTAGCTTTTTGAACATACAGAATAGAGTTATAAAAACTATTTTAGTGTCCTTGTCTACTAATTCTATCATCTGTTTCATTAATGGGTCAGTTTTGATTGAGAGTCTTTCCGTTATGAGCAGTTCTTTTCTCTCCTATGATGCCAGACATTGTGAATTTTATCTTGTTAGTTGCTGGATGTTTTTCTATTCCTGTAGATATTTTTAAGCTTTGTTTTAGGTGTTATTAAATTACTTGGAAAGAGTTTGATCCCTTTGAGTGTTAGTAACTTTTTAGGTTGGGCCAGGAAAGCCATTATTCTACCCCTGCATTCACTGAGGTAAAACTCTTTTGAATTATGAGGTTTTCTGGTCTTGCTAGTGAGAACTGGAACTCTTCTCAATTCTGCATCATCCCAGGATTGTTCTAATTCTTTTAATTGATTCTTTTCTTCGCTTCAGACAGCTCCCTTACATTCATGCAGAGTGGAAGGATGCCTTCTGCAAATCTCCAGAATTCTCTCTCTGAGTAGCTTTCTTCCCTGTGTGCTCTCTTCTCTCTTTTGCTTTACCCTGTGAAGTCAAGACCACTTGGTCCTCATGGACTCCCACATCAGTTTCTTGACTTAGGTAGAATGCCTGGTTTTGCTTGAATTCTGCCTCCTTCTGCTGTGACCTATAAACTCTCTGAAGGCATTAAGCTGGGCAATTGTTGGGCTCATCTTGTTTGTTTTCTGTCATTCAAAGATCACTGTTTTCATTGTCCACTGTCTTTAAAACCATTGTTCAATACATATTTGTCCAGCTATTTTGGTTGTTCCAGGGGGCAAGATATATATACACTCTGTCTCTCCATCTTGTATCTTACATGTGTAAGTAGTAGTGTAAGTGCAAGTACAAGTCATCCATGGAAGTTTTCACTGCTCTCATTTAATTTAGTCCATCTCCTGTATGTGTATGGGAAAGGAGACATAAGAAAATTCAAAGGCTGAAGAAACCATTTTAATGTGCTGTCACTAGTAAACTATAGCTTTATATCTTCCTTTATATCTGAATCTACCAAAAGAAAATTCACTGGCCAAAAATTCTGGAGTAATTTATTGGTCAAGAATTCCTACGTCCATTGTTACAAAGGTATTTTCTCCAATGTTCTCAGAGCTTACTTGATTAAATAGAATAGAATCTATATAGGTAGCTAGAATCCTAGAACATTTCATAAGTCATGGCCCAAATACAAGCACAGCAAAAAATGGTTTTCTTAGAACTCATAAAATGAGTTTTTATTTTCAGGGAGAAGTTGCTGAGGTTACATTTGTTGGTGCTAACCCAAAGAATTCAGCAGAAAACAAGGTAAGCCTCACTGATTCTTTTTATAAATTAAAATCTGCCTCTGGGCCTTTTATTCACTTGACTATTTCAATAGAAATTACCAACATAGAGATAAAATGTTCCAACTTATTTTTCATCTTATTTTTTAAGTGGAAAAGTTTAAGTTGGAACAGTTAATGTGGAACTGAGTCTGGGGAAAAAAGCACACAGGAAACATTTAATTGGCTCTGCTTAGGACCACATGGAGCACAATGCATAGGGAACCACACTGTCTCCTGAAAAAGTGTCAAAACTCTAGAAACTTTGGTAAAACAATCAAAGAGTTAAGAATGAAGTATTTCTTTGGCTCTTTCCTACCCGCTCTTGGGCTCTTCTCCTCCTGCTCCAACACTGTCCTTTTCATCCCACCTCTGCTGCTGTGCAGTGAGCGTGGGTGCCTGGGTGGACGCCCTCCTGGCTTAGAGCCCTGGCCCATGTGCTTTACTTTTTCTAGCATTGGCCATTTCTGTACTCTTTGCTCCTGGTACTAACAGGATATTTATTTATTAACCTTTAAAAATGACATAAGAAATACATGTCCAGTGTAAAAACAGACAGTATAAGGGCGCTGAAAATAGAATGTGAAAGTACCCCTCTTTCTTCTGTTTTAGAGGTAATCACTGTTAATAGTACATATCATTTCATACCTTTCTGTTTTTATGATATAAATAAATTTATGTTTACCTGATAATCATGAAGTATATGTCTTTATGTATATATACATACATATGTAATATATCTGTTAACAAAATAAAGTCATTGTGCTTCTCTGTAACTACCTTAGAATGTTCTTGTAACTAGATAAGCAATAACTCGACACATCCTAGTTACAAAAATTCAGACAATAAAGAAATATGTAGAGGAAAAAGATAATAGGTATTGAAAGTGATTTCAAGGTCAGATTTTTTAGCATGAGGATTGCATTTATGGTCTCAATGAGAAGTTTTTCCCAGGACCCATTGTCACTTATAATCCAAATAGCTTTCTTCCTAATGAGCCTTCCCATTTCCGTTCATTAAAATATCATTGCTGTGATAACAATTGTGGCAATATGACATTGTCAAATATGACATTGGGTGAAAATGTTGATTTAGTCAATATGCACCTGTTTGAAATAATTTCTCTAGGCAGTCAAGCTATGCCAATATATTTACATGTTTATAACATTATTTTCTGAAGATATTGCAGTGGTGTAGTAAAACTGGTATCATTTGATATCCTTAGGGTGGAGAAATATTATCATCATTATTGTCACAAAGAGGCAGGAGAGCAAAATGCTTAAAGCACTATAATGAGACTAGAATTAATCTCTAAGAATACTCTGGGGCTTAGCATAAAACAATTCTCTCTCTACTTTATTATCAGTAATCATCACATCCTCACCACTATGTATGTATGTATGTATTTATTTATATATTTTTATTAAGGTATCATTCATACACACTCTTATGAAGGCTTCACATGAAAAACATTATGGTTACAACATTCACCCATATTATCAAGTCCCCCCCAATAGCCCATTGAAGTCACTGTCCATAAGTGTAGTAAGATGCCACAGAGTCACTACTTGTCTTCTCTGTGCTGCACTGTCTTCCCTGTGACCCCCCCATGCCATGTGTACCAATCATAATGCCGTTTAATTCCCTTCTCCCTCCCTCCTCACCCATCCTCCCTCGCTCCTTTCCTTTGGTAACCGCTAGTCCCTTCCTGGAGTCTGTGAGTCTGCTGCTGTTTTTTTCCTTCAGTTTTGCTTCATTGTTATACTACACAAATGAGGGAAATCATTTGGTACTTGTCTTTCTCTGCCTGGCTTATTTCACTGAGCATAATGCCCTCTAGCTCCATCCATGTTGCTGCAAATGGTAGGATTTGTTTTTTCTTATGGCTGAATAATATTCCATTGTGTATATGTACCACCTCTTCTTTATCCATTCATCTAAAGATGGACACTTAGGTTGCTTCTGTATCTTGGCTATTGTAAATAACCTCACCACTATTTATTGAATGCTTACTATTCACAGGTACTAAGCTAAGTGCTTTACATACATTATCTCATGAATTTAATCCTCACTACTACCCAGAGGGTTATGTTTTATTATCCCTATTTTACAGATGAATAAACTGAGGTCTAGAGAGATTTGATAATTTGTATTAATTAATTAATTGTGTATCTGGAAGAGATTAAGGTTGGTGGGGGAAGGACAGTCACATTGCTCATGTATTGATGGCCTAGCCTTGTTGTCTAATTTGCACCGTAGGGTCCACTCTATCTCTTACTCTATCTAAGGCTTCTGTCATGTTGCTCTGTCCTAAATGGCCAGGAACAACTCTCTATACAAGTCATTATGGTTAAGAAAACTTCCTAATTGAATATAATCTATTAGTTGAATAATTAGAGAAGAATTTTAAGAAATTCTATGGCCCAGCTAGAAATAAGTGAACGTTCAGCCAGTTTATTTAAACATCTGTAAATGACAGATATAAAGGGCTCTGGTGGATAAAGTGAATCAGACACATGTGCTAAGGGCTACAATCTAAAGATTTTTTAGGAAAATCAGAGATTTATGATCTTTATATCTTTTAATTTGTTGTGTTATTCAAATTTGTGCTTTATTTGAAGCTGAATTCTTGGGGTTTGAAACAAATCCTTGCAGTAGTTTTCTAATGGGAGAATAAAATCTGCTTATGATGTGCTTTCTAGGAACCCATTATGACACAATAAAGAGATTGTTTTTATCATCCTAGGAAAAGGAAAGATTTATGCATCATTTTCAGTTATTTCACTCAGGAAGCAGTATTTACTAATAATTCATTACCTGGAAATAGAAAGATGAGGAAACTTTCCCATTTATCTCCTAAATCTTGAGGTAACTAGAGTAAGTCTTAGAATATAGATCAATAAACATGTCATGAAAAGGTTTGACTTATGCCTTTTTTAAATCTCAACTTTTATTCCATCATTTCTCTGCCCTAATTTCCAAAAATTTGCTCTCAGCTCTAAAATTATGATTCAGTCAATTTTCTAAAAAACATCATGTTTTTTTGTAGACTGGATAAATCAACATTCTGAAGACATTACATAGAATGTTAAGGTGAATACCTAAGAATCAGGATGAAATTCGAGTACATTTTCACACAAGTATTGGTAGGTTAGTGTGCAGTCAACAAAGGGAGTATTTATAGGCAGTTTCCTCCTGTGACTGTGCGGTGTTTGATTAGTTCTATTAATTGCATTTCAGACCCATCAGACCTTCCTCACTGTGGAGAAATATGAGGCCACTTCAACAACATGGCACATAGTGCATAATGATGCCTCCTGGGAGACTCGGTGAGCATGCCTATCGAATATTTTGTCTTTCAAGTCTTGAAAACAATTGGTTAGTAATGCAGGGAAAGCAAATGGGAAGACTGGCTTAATACTTGATATTAATGATACCAAATTCCCAAGGAGCCTTCTGGCCATATTTCATTGATTTATTAGACTTTATTTTGATTATATTTTTCTACAAAACAGTGTGGTGCTGTATGTTTCTGTAAGATTAGGTGCTAATGAGGTTATGGTTTCCATTCTTATAAACATCTGTTGTGCTTTTCTCCATGGTCACCAACTTTAACCCTAAAAGCTGGCTAGCCTTCTTGCAAATTGATTGAAAGGGGTGCTGGACGAAGGTGTTAAGGTGGCTCTGTAGAGTGTGACCTTTCTGTATTGCATGTTTACATATGGTCAATGATTCTTCATTCGAACTATTAAAACATAAGGAACTTGAGTGTTTGACTGTTATTGGTTGAAGTAAGGAAGGAATATGCTCATGGAGTTTCCTCAGAGACTTATCTCTGTGCCTTTTGTTGCCAAATACCTGTGTTGAATGGATATTTTGAAGATTTAGAAATGGGTCTGCTGTAAGAAAGTGTTACTGTTCCCAAATCTGTTAATTTCACACCACAGGAGAGTGGTATGGAAGTGGGCTATTTTTGACAATTTGTATCTAATTCAGATTGCCTCAAACTAAGTGATTATTTGTGTGTTGGTTTGATTCACATGGTTAGCTGGAAATAGAGATTTGACCATGTTGTGGGCTATTTGATAGCCATGCATAAATATGAATATAATGTTTCCTCTGATATTCAGAACTCTAGGTAATATTTAAACAAGTAATAATACATATTTATTGTTAAAATAAGGTTAAACTGAAGGAAATGATGATGATAATGAAAAAGGATGATTTATTTTTTAAAGTTAAAAATCATAACAGTCAACATTGAGGGTATGTATAGACCTCCACCTTGTTCAGCACCAGCAGTATCATCAACTCTTCATTGACAGCACTGGACCAATCACTGAGAATCATAGGATGTTGACCACACCTCCCCTGCCCAGGGGATTTACTCTCTGCATAACTAAGGACATCAATCAGTTAGCCCATTGTATTTCACTGTATCTAGAAGAGTATCTGAGCTTGCTGTCATGGTCTACAAGGGCTAACATAATCTGACTCCATGTTTCTATCATCTCAACCACCCTTCCACAGTTTACTGTGCCCTAATCCTACTGACCTATATTCTGCTCCTTGGATGAACCAAATTTGTTCCTGCTTCAGACACTTTGCATTCTCTGTTCCTTCTTCCTAAAATGCTGTTCCCCTAGATGTGTGGGTTCAGCTTAAATGACATTGCTTTAGAGAGATTTCTGTCTTACTTTTTCATTTCACTTATCACTTTTAAAATTATTTGTTTATTGCCTTTCTCTCCACCTTTGCCCTAGTAGAACATATGCTCCATGAGATTTGGACCATGTCTGCCTTCCTCACTGCCATATGCCTAGTACCTCTAGAATAGAGTCTGGCATGTCACTTATTAAATATATATTTTTAACAAATGAATCTAAATGTGAAAAGACATGTCAACTGAAGCAGAGGATGACAGGAGTTGAAAGGATACTATAGCAGTTCTAAAGCAGGAGACATCCTATGTTCTGAATATCGGGTATGGCTTTCTAGGAAGGATCAAGTTTAGGTAGTTAAAAAGGTAGAACAAGTAAAGATTTTCCTACAATTGGTGTCTCTTAAAGGTCCTCGTCTCAAAAGTAAGTATTTATCTCTGTTCTGTTCATTGCTATACTCTCATTACCTTGGTTATCATAGGTACTCCCTAAATATTCATTTAATGAATAATCACACATTTTTAAAGAGTAAAATTGGATTTGTATGTTTTCTACCAACAGTTTCTATTGGCACAAAGGATTACTGGGTCATAGCAATGCAACAATACAATGGCATATTCCAGATACTGCCCAGCCTGGACTCTATAGAATAAGATATTTTGGACACAATCGGAAACAGAACTTTCTCAAGCCTGCTGTCATACTTTCATTTGAAAGCACCTCCTCCACTTTTGAAGTTGTAACTACTTAATGAAAAGCTGACAAACTAGCTTTAAATTTAATTTGCAGTTTAAAGAGTAGCTGTACTCTGTATGATTTATATAATTGATTTCATATGAATGGAAACTATTGTGATGACTTCTATAATTGCTCTTGTCTGGGAACAGATAGTTTACTGCTAATGGGACAGAGATATGTGTGTGTATATATATGAGATGTGTGTGTCTCATTTATCTTGCTCCAGCAGGTTTGTACCTCATAGTCTACATCCTAAAGCATGATTTCCCTTGGGGCCCTATGGCTGTTTAAAGGGACAGTTCTACTCAGTATGAAACCTCTGAAAAGCTAGTAAGAGTGGTTGAAGATACGTGAACAATGTTGAAACTATTTATTGATAGAATTATTGAATGTTAGCACTGGAAAAGTTTAAAGAGATTATCTAGTTTGATACTTCAGTTTGCATATGGGAAAAATGAAGTTTTATGGATTTAGGGTTAGCATCAGGATGCAGGACCTTTCCACCAGTCACATTTAAAAAATATTATATACACATTGATCATAAATGTATAGACCTAATTAGAGAAACTTAGCATGAAAATTAGCTTGCCAGTTTTTCTATATTGAGCATAGCCTTTTAAAGTAGTCACCCTGAAGTTAATATGCCTAATCCTGAGTTTTGTTGATGCTCAAATCATTTTTGGAATTGCTTTCTGAGTGCAATTATGAAAAAGTCAGACTTGCAATATTTTGATCATGCCTTCTGTTTCCCTAAGTGCTCTTATCCCACTGAATTGTGTCTCTTATTTTGAAGACTTGTTCTAACTGATTTTTGACTGTTTTCACTAATTAAATACACCCAAACCACAAAGCTTTGCCATTAGTATTGATATTAAAATGAAAATATTACTGGCTTAGAAGAGAGTCCTCAAAGGAGAGGCTCTAAATTCACTTGTTTGTTCTTTTCTCACTCCCTCGTGGACCCATTCAATCATAATGTTTATTAAGACTTACTCTTAGACCCAGAGCTCTACTAGTGCCTGGCTTTGAAAATTAGTGAGGTCATATGTGAGATGAATGTGTAAGTGTCAATAGGTGACCATTTGGGGAAGAAAATACTAAATATATAAAGTCTAGGGGGGCATTTAAAAGTCAGTAATCTTCAAGTCATATCTTGTATACAATCTGTACTGGATATTATTTGGGAGGAAAAGGACTCCCAGTTTTGAAAAACATGTCTTGAAAGTTATTTTTTTAAACATTATGAACCCAGCCTAATGTTCCAAACAATGAGATTTGACAATCTAACATTGATTACTTGAAAGTACTAATCGCTTTTAAAATTATCCATGTTAAGTAGGAGCCTCCAGGTTACAAATTTCCAAAACCAAGTCATGCTTTTGTGTGTATGGAAAAGCATTAGCATTTTAGGCAAAAAATCCACCTTTATTTCAAAAATAAACTTTAAAGTTTGAAAATAGTAATGACATTAATATTGATAATGCTAATGTTCACTTATGTATGACTAACCAAGCTATGTTGCATTGGGGCGAGCCTCAAATACTTTTTGATGTATCAGTACTGTAGAGGCTGCTTGTTTGGAAGTTAACTGCTGGAGAATTAGGTATCAGGATTGCAAATGGTTGTTATCCTTTTTCTTTATGACACCACAGTATTTAGTGGAAAAGTTCAGAAGCCTAAAAGAGCAGGTGATTCTGAATGTAGGTGACCCACGACAGGTAAGTTATATTAGAACTGATGACAGGATTTTCAAAGTATTTCTCATGACTCAGAAGAGTTTCTGAACTTTTTTCCACCACCTCCATGCCACTCACTGAAGCTTTCCTCAGTCAGCCTGGGATTCCCTGCTGTTCATTTACAGCCATTGTATTTTGCTACTGAATGACCCTTCTGCACCCAGCCCTCTGTCCACCAATGTGCTTGGACTCAACCCACAGAAACCTGTTTTCTCACTAGCTGCCATCTCTTCCAACCTATGCAGTTCCCTTCTGCAGTTTGTAAGACCAGATCCCTATGTTATAGATACCACCGTTCTTCATTTAAGCCTAAAAGATTTCCAGGAAGAAGCTGATCTGATAGGCTAATATACAAACATAGATCCAATCTGCCTGTGTCTGCTTTTGGGAGTGGCTCATTGGAACCAAACCATGTGGAGAAAACTCCAGAAATTGGTGGCGAATATGGAAAAAAATGGGGTTGGGTTGGTGGGGGAACTCTTTCGGTGAAGATTTTGTCTCTCATGTCAGTGTGTCTGTGTTTTATTTGTTGTCCTCTGTCTACTCCAGTTTTAAGGGCACTGTGACTTCTTCAGAAAGTACTGATGATTCCTCCATAGTTTTCAATGAGTTGTAGATAAATTGTTAATTTTCAATAGAATGTTTAATAGTAGATTAATAATTACACTTAGTAAAGTATTTCTATTAAGAGATGATGTAAAGGAATGAGTACTTTTCTTTTTAAGAGAAGGACAAATCGTGGTGGATTCCATGTAAATCAGGTTGGAAAGTGATATAAATGACCTCTTCTAAGTAACCACTCAAACATAAGGGAACCCTTTATTAGTTCCTTCCTGCCCTCCAAAGATTTACTCTGGTAAAATACATGTTTGACATTTTTTTACTGCTATTGCAACTGAGAGTTTCCTAGGCAGGTAGTTAATTATAAAATTGTCTTATGAACTAATATTGAACAAAGGAATAAATATACTTGTGCATATCTTCTTTCAATTTAACTTCTTATGCTTCTCCTCCAGTGTTGGCAAGCACACTGTCCTTTTCTTATTATTAGCACATGGATTTCATCTTTAGCTAGATGACTCCATCATTAGATGATCCTTTTATGCACTTAGTTCTTTCAAATAATGTTTTTGCTTCCTGGGTATCCCAGTCTGACCTACCAGTATATACTGGCTTTTGGAATTTCTGCCATATACGTTGCCAGAAAGGGAAATTTGTACATTTCTCACACAATTAGAATGCATTTAGCTGTAAGTAACAAAATATTCTTGATCGACAGGGGTCCAAACAGTAAAGATATTTACAATCTCACATAGCAATGAATCTTGAGGTGACAAATTCAGGGTTTGGTTAAGCCACTCAAAGATGTTACTGGCTTTCTTAGCATTTTATTTCAGTTCTTAGGCTTGTCCTATCAGTCAAAAGATGGCGATCTCATGTCTTCATGCAATTGCATGCAGCAGCAAAAAGGAAGAGGAGAGTTCTCAGAATCTGTTTTTGGAAGGTGGAAAGTATTTAGTAGAAACATAAATAGAATTTTCCTTACATTTCATTGTCCAGAATTATGCCACATAGCTTCAAAGAAGGCTGAGAAAGGGAATATTTGGTATTTTCTGCCTCTAGAGAGGAAGGCAAGTTCTGATAGCAAGAAGGAAAAGGTGGTGGAAGTTACTGTTCTATAAATGTGTCAAACGAAATGGGTTTGCTGTGCAACAACATTCATGTACGTTGCTCGATCTCATTACGTGTCCTTTAGAGTCAGTGGGAGAATCTGTTCCACATGTCACTCAGGAACTCAGCTTGCCGGAAGCTCCCTTTCAAAACATGCTTCTATAATTAGGGGGAGGGATCTAGTCTCCCATGATTGGGGTAAGTGAACATGGGGAGTCATGGACAAGCTCTTAAAGCTTCCACCTGGAAGTACATACATCACTGCTCAGATTTCATTGGGTAAAGGACAGAGCAGTGTATTCAGGACTTGCCCTAATGGTTACTACAATAGGCAAACAATCACATCTGCATATCCAACGTAAGGGCTCTTTGAAATAATTGGGACTAGTTTTATTGTAGGGAATATGTTTTTAGAAAACACATCTTGGGACCCTGATGATGACAGGCTTGCTTTCTGTACTGCAAAAGGTATGCATTCATTCAGCAAATTTATATTGAGCACCTATATACTTTGTGGCAGGCATTATGCTAAGCCCCAAGGATACCATAATGATGAAAACACAGTGAGATACTGACATCAGGGAGGAAACAGATAGGTAAACAGGCAATTCTGCAGAGGGACCTATACTGACACAGCAGTGCAGAGTGTTAGAGATGGCCCCTTAAACTGTCTTGGGGATATTGCAGTAAGTTTCCTGGAAGATACAACATCTAAGCTAAGACCTAAAGGATATTAGTTAGGGTAAGGTAATCGTGTATGTGTGTGTGTTTACACACATGAGTACAAGGTGACTACACTGTTCCAGATAGAGGGAATATAAGTAGTTTATCAAGGTTGGATAGAGTGCAAGGGAGAGCGTTCAGAGATAGAGCACTGAACTTTGCCCTCATAAATAGCAGTTTGTTTTTATATTTGTATTCGTATTTTTCCTGCTTGTGAGTGAATATATTTTCCTTTTGCTATACTAATGAAATGTATCTTTTTTTAAATTAAGGTATTATTGATATACACTCTTATGAAGGTTTCACATGAAAAACAATGTGGTTACTACATTCACCCATATTATTGAGTCCCCCCACAAAACCCCATTGTAGTCACTGCCCATCAGTGTAGTAAGATGCCACAGAGTTACTATTTGCCTTCTCAGTGCTACACTGTCTTCCCCTTGACACCCACCACACCATGTGTACTAAACATAATACCCCTCAATCGCCTTCTCCCTCCCCCACCGCCCTCCCTCCCCGCTCCCCTTTGGTAACTGCTAGTCCCTTCTTGGAGTCTGTGAGTCTGCTGCTGTTTTGTTCCTTCAGTAAAACATATCTTTTATAACCAAGGAAACTGATTTTGGTTCCCAGTCTTCAGTGACATTGGGTATCATCCTTCTGTCTTTATGGGCTGTGACCCTGTCTCTTGGAACGGAATTAAGAGACTTCTTTTGCTTCAGCCAATCTCATGTTTCCAAATCTTGATTTCCTTTTGCTTTTTCATACCTGCTGAATTGGTAGGTACAGCCAATAAAGACCAGTTTTCCCCTTTAGATGGAGTCCAGACTGGCCTGTATCTTATAAATACTTATGAATACTAAAGAACTGACCCACCTACTTTAAAATAAAATTCAAAGTACTTTGGCAAGCATAATTTCATGTTATCAGAGACCCAGCCTCTGTTAATTTTTTCTCTGGCTATGTTTTAGGATAATGAATGAACTAGAAGCCTGGGATTGGCTCAACACTGCCCAGAGGAGAACAGGATATCTACCACTCTTCTAACAGATTGATGTAACGATAGTCTTCATTTTTTGTAGTTTTTCTATTCAATATGCCAGATTTGCCTTTTACTTTAAGATCAGGGTAAGCTAAATGAACACAAGAACTTAACATCCTAGCAATTGCATACTTGGATAAGAAGTCCAACAGGGACCCAATCACATACCCTAAACGGGCAGTGAATCCAGGTGGTAATGCAGAGAAAGAAATCCTTAAGTGGAATTTCAATCAACTAGCATGTATTATTTTATAAATAAAGTTGGTGCCGCCATGATGAGGAGAGTTGTACATTTTGGATGCTTTCCCCAAACCGGATCATACTGTGCTGGCCTTTTGCCCCTCTTTCACCAGTTTCTTTTAACTTCAAGTTCACAAATGCAAAACATGTTGTTGGGATGGAGGAGTAGCTTATAACCCTTGGGCATAAACTGGAAGTTGTATGAAAGATGGAACCCAGACCCTGGAGTCTGGTTAAGTTGGATTGAATTATGGCTGTAACCTTGGAAGTCACCCTATTTAGTGAAATGGTGATAGCAGTAAGGACCTTCTAAGGGGTTGTATAAGTTTATGGTTAAGAGAGAATATTCTGGATACTAATTGATTCAAACCCTAGGTCTACCATTTACCCAGTGTAAGATCCTGAGTAAATTATTCAATTTCTTAAAGTCACTGTTTTTTTTTCTGTTTGCTTTCTTTATTTTTAATTGAAGTATTGTTGATATACAAACTTACATAGGTTTCAAATATACAACACAGTGTTTCAACAGTTACCCATCTTATTAAATCCTCACCCCCCACTAGTGCAGTTACTATCTATCAACACAGGAAGATGTAACAGAATCACTAGCTATATTCTTCCATGCCATCCTACTATTCCTATGACCAAGTTATATTAGGAGTGAGAATTTTTGTGCCTTATTATCCCCGTACCCCTACCCCTCCAGCCTCTCCCTCATGGTAACCACCAGTCACTTCTCAAAACCACTGTTTCTTAATGTACCTTAATCTCTTAATGTATAAAATGAGAACAGTAAGAGTGCTTATCTTCTTAGTATGTGAGACTGAAATAAGGTGAAGCTGTTGACACAGTGTCTGGCATGTGGTATATGCTTAATTTACTTAGCTGTTAATTAACTTAGATGCCACTGAGTACTATATGAGGTGATGCATGTAAGTATAAAGACTGAGAAATAAAAAATTCCTCCATTGTGAACTGAATCCATGATTTGTCCCAAAGATATTATGCTTTTCCTCATCTCTTTCAAGGTTGTAATTTTGACATCTCTCATGTTACGGTAGAAATAATTGGGATGGGGGTGGTAACTGAAGCTTATAGAGTGGTCTGGACTGACAGGTTATGGGGATCAGAATGGGTCAGAAGGTAGGAGTGTATACGCCTTTACAGTTGAAGTGGATGTGCCTTACTGATTGACAGGTGGGAGGCAGAGAAAGATAGTTTCAAAAAATAAAAGCCCTGAAACATTGGGCCATAGTAACTGTATAAACAGAAGCCAGAGTTAAAGGCAGTGATTTCAGCGGGATGATGGTAATTCTAGTTTTGAATGTATGGGATTCTGACAAGATGTCCAGGTGGCAAAGAGCAGCAAGCAGTGGGAAATGTGGGGTGGCAGGATTGGAGAGAAAGTAGAGCAAAATATAGAGATATGGGAAGCATCAATTTCAAACCAATAGTGGAAATCAAGGGAGTTGATGACTTGCAAGGAAGGCTTTTAGGAGGTGAAAACAGCCTGGGACAACAGGCCTTTGGGCAACATCTGCTTTAGGAAGGGAAGGAGAAGGAGGACCAGAAAATACTAAGAAGAAACAATTAGAGAATTAGGAGAGTAAGATGAAAGTAAGAAGAAGGTCAATTACATCAAATATTGCAGAGAAGCTTGACAGGGTTGAATTAAGCCTTTGAAACATAAGAATGGTAGAAAGCACTGTGCATGTGGTCGAGGAGTTACTGCGCTGATTGGATGTGGCAGACAGCTAGTGGCCATTCCGTATTCCTCCCGTAATGATAGTTCTAACTGGTCCTAGGGATAGGACTACATTTGTCAGCCCGGGGATAACCCAGGCCTGCATCTGGCAGCTGGCTATAGCAACCAAGTTCTGTTCAGTGGGATGAGAGACGCGATCGATACATTCTATTTCCCCACTTACGTTCTCAAAAGGAATAGTCATACGCTCTCTTACTCTACTTCCCTTCCTAATAGCTGTGTAACAGACATGATGGCAAGAGCTGGAGCAGCCATGTGGAGGCCAGAGATGGAACCTTCATGTACATACTGGCAATCAGAGAAAAGATGCCCAGGTCCCTGAGAGTCCCTGACAGTCAATCGTCCCTTAACTGGTTATTTTCAGATGATTAAAGGGAAAATATATACCCCTTTCCACTTTCACTATTACATTTCACTGTTAGAACAGCTAAAAACTGTGTTCTAACTACTATACTGATTACAGCCACCATCAAGGCCATAATTAAGTTACTTTCTTCTCCTGTGGCTAAGACAAAAACCAACATAGTTGTATAAAATCAAACCTTTACTAGCTGATCTGGGGAAAATAGTGCAATGACTTCTCCTTCTCCTTCTCCTTCTCCTTCTCCTCCTTCTCCTCCTCTTCCTCCTCCTTCTCCTTCCTCTTTCTCTTCCTCCTCCTCCTGTTCTTCCTCTTCCTCTTCTTCCTCCTCCTCCTCCTTCTCCTTCTTCTTCTTTTTTCTTGTTTCTTCTTCTTCCTTTTTTTTGACTCTTCTACCAGTTATGGGTTGAATCGTGTCCCACAAAAAGATGTGTTGAAGTTCTAACCCCCAGAGCCTCAGAATGAGACCTTTTTTGGAAATGGGGTCATTGCAAATATACTTAGCCAAGATGAGGTGATATTGGAGCAGATTAGATCAGTACAGTAGGGTAGGGCCCTACTCCAGAATGACTGGTATCTTGTGAAAGGAATGCAATGTAAAGAGATGTACACAAGGACAGCGCAGTGCGAACAGGAAGGCAGAGACTGGAGTGCTGTGTCTACAAGCCATGGAATGCCAAAGATGGTCAGTAACTCACCCGAATCAAGGAGAGAAGCATGAGCAGATGGTCCCTCACAAGCCTCAGAACAAACCAACCTTTCTGTCAATGTGATTTTGGACTTCTACGCTCCAGAAAGGTAAGATAATAAATTACTGTTGTTTAAGCCACCCAGTGAGTGGTATTATGTATGCTATTATAGCAGTCCTAGGAAATGAATATACTGGCTGATGGATTAATGTCCACCCCTTAGGGCTCCTGCCAAAAGATCTTATTTGGGTACCTTCTGGTGTACAGAACCTAGTAATTATATCTGTTTACTCTCCCAGATAATAGGGTCATTTATAGCAACTGGTCTTATCTATCATTGAGTGTCATCTATCATAGTCAAAGACTAGAGTAAATCCTGAAACAAATGTACATTTCATAAAAAAACAAATGAGTTAACTATGATACAGCTCTAACCTTCTATGGAGAATGAACATTCTATAATTTTGGGAATTGACATTTTATGGATTCTGGGTAAACCTACAAATATCATATATATATATATGGAATTATAATATGCTTTAAGAATTTGGTAGTGCCAGTTTTAAATTAAAGCAGAAGATGGCTGCATTCATATCACAGAGAGCTAGTATAACAAAAAGTAACTGAGTTTTTTTCTCCCTTGTGGGTGACTCACTTCATGCTTGAATAAATGAATATTTTCTATTTCAGGAAATGCTTTCATGAATAAAAGAATGCTTAAAGACTTTATTGAAGAGAAAGCATCCCATTATTGGAGGACATTTTAATTTGTTTGGATCAACCAAGTAGTATTTTAATGTCCCCTTTTTAGCATAAAATGGCCTGGAGTCCTGTGGGAAATATGATATCTCTTCCTGGGTGGGTGCTGGGATGCTCACACTGAAAAGTCTGGTCATCTCCCCCAACAGGTATCATCTCTCCTGTACCTCCACTGTGGTAAGGCCTTCATGAGAATCCCACGATGCTAAGAGAACTTTTGTAAAACACTGACCTACACCGAAAGCAGATGAACTGACCTTCTTGACCTCTCTCTTCCCACAGCTAATATGAACCTTCTCATACATGATTTGAAAAAAACCAAATATTGGAAAGAATCCAAATGTTTAACAACAAAGGACTGAATAATACCCTATGGCATAT